TTTACTATATTGAATTCCCGTGGAAGTATAGTACGTTCAGAGTACGTTAAATTCAATGCGCACCGAAATAGAATCGGATTGAAGACTTCGGTGGAAACTAAATCGTAGAGTTCATGTATGACATAACTCTATCATATAATAATATATATTTTTATTATCTTTTCTGGCAGATTATGTGCAAAATGTATAAAAGAAAAATTCTACAAAAACGGAATAGAGAGGGAACGAAGAAAGAAACATTGGTGGAAGCAATAGGGAAGATCAAAGCATTATAAATAGGTGTCAATGTTTTTTTGTGAAAAAAATAGAGAAGGATGCAATTCTTAGAGGTATTCAATCGATATTTTTATTAAGTTAAAATATATGAATTTTTGTTTTGTCGAATTTAGTAATTTAAAGTTATTTTTATCAATTGTAGTTATTTTCGAAGTTTTTCATCTAAGTTCGAAAGAAAATGCCTTTTACAATGTTTTAGTGCAATTATTAATTGTATTAATAGTAAATTACCAATCAACACACATTATTCAATTACCAATAAAACCTATTCATTATAAGTGTTTTATATCGATTTAAGCAAATGTGGAGTTTATTACATCATTTTACTTTATACCTCTGATTTTGCCAAATAGTGTTAAACAAAGATATTTTCTAAAATATGTATATATTTCAAATTTAATATATTTTCATATATTCTAATTGTATCTCCATATATTCTAATTGTATCATTTACATGCAAATCATAATTATTACTTAATCATGCAATGTAAAGAAACTCAATTACTTTTACAAGCGTGGAAGCGTTTTATTTTAAAAACGTGGAATCTGGTCATGCTTCCAATTATCAATTTTAAACATAAAAAAGAATTCACATATAATATCGATATTTAATTTTTTACTCGATTTGTTAGATCTGCTGCGATTCTAGACAGCAAATTTTAATACATTTCATAAACTTTTGGAAGCAGCAGACTTGCTAGATTCCCGCGCGATGCAATTTTGTGTCATCCGCGCGTCGAGAAGAAGATAAACTTTTCTCCTTTTTTATCATGTAATAATTTGTTTTTTTATATTATTAATCGCGCTGAGGAAGAATCAAAGATTTGAAACGTTCGTTATTTGTGTAGTTTTTAGATTTGAAATAAACAACATTCAATAAAAAGGAAATCTTGTTTTTTTCCCTGCGCCCCAACTACCGCGTTGAGACTCTTATATCAATTTTGATTTAATATTTATTTTATATTTTAATTATTACTTTTTATACTCTGTCATCCACTAATGCACTTATACCTATTCATACTAAGTAAGATATAAATCGAACATATAACAATACATATATATATATATATATATATATATATGTATATATATGTGTGTGATCATTAATATCGAATACTGTTCTAGGCAATATACAAGAGATATTGATCTTGACTTTGTAAATTCGATAGATGATTTGTCATATTATTCATGTTTTATGAAGTGTTTATTTCATGTAATTATTCTGATTACACATATGCAACCTGATGCGCTTCTATTTCGATATTGTAGAGACCAATCGATATGGGCGTTAAGATTGAATTGGTGCGGTGCCATTGTTGAGGTCGATGATCACACTAACCGAATATATAAGATATGCCGCATAAAACTTCAATGCGGAATTTTTGTAAGATTTTATATTGCATGACGCAATTATTGTTTTCCTAAAACCTTCTAATTATGTTATGACTAATGCTTTTCTAAATCCTTGTACATTTTGATTATTTATTTTGATTTCGTTATACATATTAATTTACATTTCATAAATTTAATATTTATTTTATATTTCATAAGTATCTATCTATCTAATATATATATATATATATATATATATATATATATATATATATTATCACAACTTTGAAATAAAAATCTCTCGATAATTTTGTCAGTTTTGATGCATTATTGCAACTGTAACATTCTGATTTTTATTAAAATATAATAATGGCAATAATAATAGATTAAAATTTACGAAATTATTGATTTTATTTTTAAAATTATTTTTAAAAATAGATATTTATAAAATATAAAAAAATATATGTGTATGTGTATGTGTGCGTATACCCACGGAATGTCCAATTTCAGTCAAATATCTTGTTATTACGTAGTTTTAGAAAAAAAAATGTTTTAGATAGAAGTTGTATGGTTTCAAGAAGGAGGGACATAAGATGGTCGCAATGATTTGATTTTCGATAGTATTTTGAAGGATACGTGAAGATCATCTTCAATTTAATAAATAGAACTTTATTTTTCATTGTATATTCTTGCAGCTTATCTCAAGAGCTTTTCAAGACACTATAATAAAGTATTTTTCTTATTAAGTACTTTTTGAGTCATGAGGCTTGCAATAATTTCAAGCATACAAATAAGCATACAAATAATTATACATAAATTATAAAATATCTCATAACATATTTATTTTTCGATGATCTTATCTCAATACTTTTATACTTAAAATAATGAGAAATCAATTAATATAAAAAAACACAATTGTATTTCAGAAAAAATATATAATTGTCAATTGCAAATTACATATTTGTGATTTAAGATCGAAATTAGATTTGGAGTAGGTTATCTTCTGAAAGTAAAATCCCCCGTAGAAGAGGGGGAGGGACCCACTGTGTCTCCACGCATATATTTTGCAAAACGAAGTTTTCTCTACATTTAACTATAGCTGTCGCTTCATCTTGCAAAATACATGCGTAGACTCCGTGGGTTCCGCTCCCCTCCTACGGGTGGGAGCTCCACTTCCAGAAGATATAACTTAATCCAAACCTATTTATGACTTACAATTAAAATTTAGGTTATATAATCCAAATTGCATTGTGCTTTTGTATTAGACAAATGAAAACTTTTTTTGGGGTGCAGGGAAAGGATCGAAGTCTCTTTTAATACACAAACAGCTTATTACAGTTTGTTTTATATATGGTGTCGGAAAATAATATTTATATAGATTTGTAACTATTCATGTATGAGATCCACTTTCATCCAATACTTTCGATAGGAAATGAGATCTATGTTTATAGCTCTAGTTATAGGTTTCCAAATTTTCAAAACAAGGTATATCCATATCATTTTGTGCTTGAAATCTATTGTACATATATATATACAATATATATATATATATATATATATATATATATATATATATATATATTATTATCCTGATGTTGACAATATACATGAAGATCAAAATATTCGGTGGAGTGTAAATAATTATGTATAAATGGTTTCAAAGTAATAAGACAATGTGTGTGTGCGCGTGCGCGTGTGGAGTGCATGAGAGGGAGGGAGGGAGGGAGGGAGGGAGGGAGGGAGGAAGGGAGGGAGGGAGGGAGGGAGGAGGAGGAGAGAGAGAGAGAGAGAGAGAGAAAGTAAATGTGAAATCACGCAAAAAATTACATAAACCGAGCGACAAGTATTTATTTGTTGTCGTAACCACACAATACTTTATTCAGAAATATCGAGATACAATCAACAAGCTTAACAATTTTTAAAAATCGCAAATTCTTTTTAGATACCTTTTTTTATTGATTCATGATTCTTGTTTTTATTGACACATTATTATTTATTATAATATCGATGTGTCAAAAACGTACATTTTTGAGAATATACAAAACATATAGTATTAATGCTTCAATTTACAAAGAATGTATACTTGCACTTTATAATCTGACATATGATATAATTGTCCTTCACGTGGCGCATACGTTATATATATGATTGCAATAAAAAAAGATTAAAAAATATATCAACCAAATGCATATTTCATAAAGGATGAGTTTATCTTTTATGTGTAAAATAAACTTTCTGATAATATTCTAATAATCTACATATTATCAAACCGTTAAATTACAATAACTCTTATTGTAAATTACTAAAATTTAAAAAATTACGGTTTATTTTATATTATTTATTGAAAGAGAATGGACATCTATTTACATAATCTTTTATGTGCAAATCGACACTGCAATCTTAATAAAATTTGTTTTCGTTTAAAACAACAAAAAAAATAAACAAACCTTTTAATCTTTAAATTAAATATAAATCAATAAAAGAGAAAGCCTTTTCTCTATTTAAGACATTTTAACTTATAACACACACACACACACACACACACACATACATACATACATACGTACACATAATATATGTATATATTAAAGTACCAATAAAGTAAATGTTGTTTGATATAGAAAAAAGAGAGATACAAATAATAGTTTATGTAATTAATTTTGCAGTTTTTTTGTTATCATACACACACACGTATACATACATACATACATACATACATACATACATACATACATACATACATACATAACATACATACATACATACATACATACATACATACATACATACATACATACATACATACATACATACATACATACATACATACATACATACATACATACATACATACATACATACATACATACATACATACATACATACATACATACATACATACATACATACATACATACATACATTACATACATACATACATACATACATACATACATACATACATACATACATACAACATACATACATACATACATACATACATACATACATACATTACATACATACATACATACATACATACATACATACATACATACATACATACATACATACATACATACATACATACATACATACATACGTACGTACGTACGTACGTACATACATACATACATACATACATACATACATACATACATACATACATATATACATACATACATACATAAAAACTATGTATAAAATCATCAATGAGGAAGATAAATTACTATAAAGTAGATGTATACAAGTAGATATTTATTTTAATTGCAAATGGTTTTTTGTGTATTTATTATTTTAAAACGAGAAATAAATATTCCTTTTATAGTGCAACTGCAAAAAGAATGTAAGATCCTGAGTATCATGCAATCGAAAGAACACATGAAATTTACCTTCCATTGTCGTCAACTCCGGATCTGGTAGACCGAAGGCCAGCTGAGCAAGAATAATCCAGCAGGAGACCAGAAAGACGCAAGGCAATCGCACAATAGTAGCATTGTACCAAAGGGTGGTCCTCGATGATGAATACATCGACAACGGGAAGGCTGTCGCGGCGACGCGCATCTCTATGACTGCTAGCCCCTGGCCCCACGCGGCACACCTACACAGCTTACACGTACTTACACGCACGCACGCACGCACTCTGTATGCCTGTACGCCCACGCAGGTCAATCCTGCTTGGCCTACTTCCGGTATCACATTTCCAGCCGATCGTGGAGACGCGCGCGATCGATCACGCGCATAGTCGCTGCTGCTGAAACCTGACCTTACCCGTAATTCTCTCTCCCCGTCTTTACAATCAAATGGTTTTCCGTTATTGTTTAACCAAACACACTGTCAACGCGTTAGATTCCTTCCTTGATCATAAAGGACAGCGCCATTCGTAGATCAAATAATTCTGATGACAACAGTAGAGATAACGATCACGTTCTCACAGTATGACTGCGTTATCGTGTATATTCCATGCGATTGTGCCACGTAGCGCAACGAAAAGGCGCCAAGCAACGACTCACCCCTCAAGGGATGTCATCGCGACGCCAGGGCGCCGATGTTCTGCGCAATACAGCGCACATTTTCACTCCCTTGACCGCCGCGTAATAACAATGTTGCTCTGCGACACATCCACCTCTTCCCGTATTTTTCCGCACCACACTAGCGGTGCAAACAGCGACAGAACATAGTGTTTGGCAGTGCCTCTGAGTTTTTTTTCGAGCATAACTGTCGATCATACATTATTATTGTTGCTATAATATATATAGAATATTTCATAATCTATAGAACGAATTTCAAGAGGTGATAAATCATATCAAGAGAATCAATTTTTATTAAAAAACCATTATCCTTTAATGTATTCTCAAAGAGTTATACATTCCTGTTCGTTTATGAAATGAGTAATTAATTGCATGACAATTGCACGTGATGTCTTATAATATTAATCCATGTGCCTTTGATTTTGTTATTTTTTATTTTTTTTATTTTATTTAAAGAACATGGGCTAGTATCTATGCAGAACATTAATGCAAATATTATTACTGTAATATTTTATGCTGTATAGATATTATCAAATATTATGCGCAATGCTTATGCGATCGATTGCCTATTTTACAGGCAGTCCGAACAAAAAATTTAATTCCTGAGAAAAATTAATTCTCTTAAAATATAAAATCTATCATCCCTTGCAGTTTGTTCCAACGAAAATTCTAAAACATACATATTATATACATGTTTATATATTATTTATATATTATTATACATATTATATACAGGGTGGATCAATAACTCTGTCCACCTGGAATATCACTGTTATTTTTAAAGATACAAAAATTTTACTTATAAAAGTTGTACGGTACCAAGAGGGTCGTAATATGCTACTAATAATTTTTTTGTATGTGGAGGCGCTTCAGAAATTTCAAGGTCATCTCCATTTTTTCAAATGGAATCCCCCTTTTTTTATTACCTATTCTTATAGCTTAGCTCGAGAACTTTCCAACACATTATAATAAAGTATTTCTTCATTGAGTATTTTTTGAGTTATGAGGGTTGAAATCATTTCTTAATTTTACATAAACCATAAAATATCTAGTAAAATATTCATTTTTCGATTATCTTATCTTAATGCTTTTATGTACAAAATAATAAAAGGAATCAATTGGTGTAAAGAAAACATACAATTGTTTTTTAAGAAAAAATATGAAATTGTTAATTGCAAATTACATATTTTTTTTAAAAAACAACTATTTTTTCTTTACACCAATTGATTCCTCTCATTATTTTGTACATAAAAGCATTAAGGTAAGATAATAAAAAAATGAATATTTTACTAGATATTTCATGGTTTATGTAAAATTAAGAAATTACTTCAAGTCTCATAACTCGAAAAGTACTCAATAAAGAAATACTTTATTATAGTGTTTTGAAAAGCTCTCGAGATAAGCTATAAGAATAGGTAATAAAAAATGGGGAGTTCCATTTAAAAAAATGGAGATGACCTTGAAATCTCTAAAGTACCTCCACCTACAAAAAAATTATTAGCAGCATATTACGGCCCTCTTGAAACCGTACAACTTTTATAAGTACAACATTTTTGTATCTTTAAAAATAACGGAGATATTCAGGTGGACAGAGTTATTGGTCCACCCTGTATATATGCGCGATCGGCAAAGTGCAAAACATTGTTAAAATATTGTTATGTGTAGTAGTAATTACGCGACTGAAACCACTCTTTCTTAAAAAAAATATCTATACGATTATTTCAAGTTTTCCAAGAGATTCATGCAACACATGACAATGACATCACAACATTTTTGCAATCTTATTGCAATGTTATATGCTTTAGGATATAACATCAATATTGGGAATTAATGCAGCACAATTCTCGGCGCTCGTGTGCTCTTTTTACTTTATATAAATAAATATATTATTTGTGAACATGGAATATTTCATATTTTCTTATCTTGTGTATTATGTACAGATCATTCAATATTCCATATTTTCAATTTTTGTCTGTTATTTATGTATGTATAAATTAATATTTCATATTATCATGAGCTTATGAGCTTTAAACTATCACAGTTAAATCGATGGTCAATAATAGATATATACGCATATATAAAGTATCGCAAATATTTACTACTTTTTAATAACAGATTTTTCTTATTTGAAGACTCTTAATCTAATTGTAAGACAAAAATAAAAAGATCGAGGCTATAATATTTTTTAAAATGAGAAGCGCTTGAAATTGATTAATTAAGTTATTTTAATATGCAATAATTTTCATAGTACTGAATAAAATACTCTTACAATCAGATATTTTCAAATATTAATTTAATTTTGTTCATATTTCTATTAAAACTATTTTCCTGTCGGTAATCATCTTTTTACATCTACTGATTATATTGATAGTAGCAGTATAAAAAATTATGGAATATAATATTACATTAAAATACGATATACAACAAAGTTATCATATGAAGTATGTTACAAATGAATGATATCTTCCATACTACAACGAATGATATCTTCCATGCTTTAACAACATTGTAGCAACATTGGCTTAGTTAAACTTAGTCGTCCAAGCCCGATTTATTTCGAAGTGAACTGGATTTAGAGGAATGTTTACACTAAATTGACCTTAAGCTAACGGCACAGCAGTGCTATTTTATCTGTTGGATTATTAGCTGGATCTGCTTGCTTGCTACTGTGTCGGTAACACTGATGGCATAGCTACTGACTATGCTCGCTTGGCTTCAAACGAGGATTTTTGTACTGGTTTTCGTACTAGCATCTACTAGCATCTGAATTCATATTTTTATTTGATTTTTCTCTTTTACAATAAAATTCCGATAATACTGAAAAATTATAAACTTTAAATAAACTTAAGCACTTTGAAAATACAGATAAAATTCTGTAAATATAAATAATATTGCAAAGTTTATAAATAAATTATATAAAATAAAAAATATATTATAAACTATAAATTTAATTATAAATTTAAAATTACTAACTTTGTAACTGTTATAAAACATTTAACAAAAAGAAACATTTATTAAACAAAATAGCTTTTTTTAGACCATTTTCCCATTTTTCCTTTATTTGTGGTGGTCATATTTCTCTCCATTTGACAATGCTGAGAAAATATCGTAACTTCTTTATATAACTTAATCTAAAAGTTATGTCAGATTGGCTCTCATAATAAGCTAACACAGAATCATATAAAAAAGATAGGGATGTATGTGGGAGGAGGTTGGATGTGTCTGTACGCCCATTTGATCAACGAATGACCGAATCTATCCGCAACGGCATCGACGCTTATCCTGTGGAGAGAGCAGTCACACACTTTTCAACAAATAATTGTTAGAAAACAATATTCGTGGACTAAAAAAATATGTGAGGTGCAAGTGGCTGGATTGGGAATCGAACCGAGTCTTTCGCTTTCCGGGCAACTACTCTAGACCATTGAGCTATCCAGATCTCACACTTAATGCTACTTTTTAACACAGTGATATGCGATTCCAGAGCGATGTTGATATCTCACTCGATGGATGCAATGCCGATTGCCATGAAGGATCTCTGAAAGATCGCTCGCTGACCAAATAAGTGCCGGTGGAGATATTTGAGTGCACTACATGCTAGCTTCCGACTAGTCTTCGGTAAGAAACGGCACCGAGTATAACGCCGTAGAGTGACCACATCCCCCAAGATCCCTCTAGTAAATACTAATATTCCCACTGTGCTAATAAAAGTGACGAATGGATCCTAAATAGGGCCGTGGCAAGCCTTCAGACAAGAAAAAATAGCACCTGTTCTATCATGAAAATCTAGTAAATCAGTCAGCAACGTGACTAGTGAAAACACGATTTCTTAGCAGATAGCAAGTAATCCAGTAGATAAAATAGCCACTGGCTTTCCTCCTATTAAGGAGATCCTAAAGTCGACTTTTTTACCGACAAAAACACCGTTTTTGTCCAAATTTTCGGGAGTGTGCCATTTTTTATTGCTTATATAGAATTAAAAATTCTTCTTCAGAATTGAAGTAGACATATAAACGGACACGTGAAAACTCTATATAGTATGAAATTTTATATTGAGAAAGAAAATAAGTGTAAAATTACATTTTTATTTATCAACTTCTTACATCAACATGGCGTCAGAGCTCAACTTATACAAATATTAGCTTCTTATAAAAGTTTTATAGCTTTTATGCATAAAACTGTAGTTTTCACGATGTGTACTGCATCGTAGAACATTGTGGAACTGTAAAAACTGAATTTAATTGCCTAATTAATAAATGGCATTCTTCCAATTTCAGTTCGTATGTACCTGAAATATGGATAAAGTAGAGTGGAAAAAGCAATGCATCTTCTTTATAAATAATGTGAGAAAGATACGGGATGAGGATTAGATGAGGGCACTGTAATCGTGTAAGTGTTCGCCGTTCAGTTTAGGATCCTCTTAAGGAGTCCTATTAATCTATAATTGAAATTAATTACATGTATATAATTCGCAAACTTTGTAAAATTATGTATATTTAAAAATTTTTTAAATTATGTATATTATAATGTGACCCGAGCACGTCAAGTTTTTGTAAGTCACTTTGGTCTTAATTTTTCTAGTTCCGAATTTATTTGACAAAGCTTATGATTAATTTCAAAATTAAATATTTCATAATAATAAAAATGCGTAAATTGTAATACAACTAGGGTAAAATTTTTGTATGTAACTTTTCTTAAATCCTTTAATTCCAGGTCTACTTAGTAAAACTTATGATCTTAAAACAAGTCAATTAGTTTTTCTCTTTTAAATTCAAAATTGGCGATTAATACAATCGATGTTATTGCAATAAATGTTAAATAATTTTATGAATTACTATTTGTAATCTAATAAAACTCGCAATATATTAGTGCCATTTCATATATTGCACAAATATTTATTTGGATCACACATAATAATGTATTTTTATATATCATACAAAGTATTGAACTTATTTTCAAAATATTTTTTATTCCGTCGAGA